CTCAGCGCAAGGGGAAGGTCGTGGGGAACCCCTGCCCCATCTGCCGGGACCGGAACCTGCTCGTGGATTTTCGGGTGAGTTTGGGGCTTTCAGGGCAAATTTGGGCCCCCATTCCTGCTTTTCCTTCTGCTCCCATTTTCCCTTTTTTTTAACCCCATTTCCCGTGTTTTCATTTCCCTTTCTTGTAATTTCCCCTTTTTCTTGTAACTTTCCCCTTTTCCTGCTTTCTTATTCCRATTTTCTTCTTCCTTATTCCCTTCCTGTTCTTTCATACCTCTTTTCTTTCTCTTTTATCCCATTTTCTCTTATCTTTAACCTTCTTTCTTTTCTCTCCCTTTTCTCCTGTTCTTTATCACTCTTTCCCCTCTTCTTTACCCCTTTTTCCCTTTTTACGCCCCATTTTCCTCTTCTTTATCCCTTTTCCACTCTTATTACCCCATTTTCCACCCTTTTACCCCATTTTTTACCCTTTTTTGCCCCATTTTTTACCCTTTTTACCCCATTTTTTATACTTTTTACCCCATTTTTTATCCTTTTTACCCCATTTTCCACCCTTCTTACCCCTTTTTCTCCCTCCAGAATGTGAAGCTGCTGGACCAATTCATCTGCCCCCACTCCGGGGTCATCTTCCACCCCACCCACACAGGTGAGGGGTCACTTTTGTGTCCTGAGGGTCACCTCTGTGTCCCAAAGGTCACCTCTGTGTCCTGAGGGGTCACTTTTATGTCCCAAAGGTCACCTCTGTGTCCTGAGGGTCATTTCTGTGTCCTGAGGGTCATTTCTGTGTCCTGAGAGGTCACTTCTGTGTCCTGAGGGGTCATTTCTGTGTCCTGAGAGTCACCTCTGTGTCCTGAGGGTCACTTCTGTGTCCTGAGGGTCATTTCTGTGTCCCAAAGGTCACTTTTGTGTCCCAAAGGTCATTTCTGTGTCATGAGGGGTCATTTTTGTGTTCCAAAGGTCACTTTTGTGTCCTGAGTGGTCACCTCTGTGTCCTGAGTGGTCACCTCTGTGTCCTGAGGGGTCACTTTTGTGTCCCAAAGGTCACTTTAGTGTCCCAAAGGTCACCTTTGTGTCCCAAAGGTCATTTTTGGGTGCTCTGACCCCTTTTTCCCCTCAGGAATCTGCCTGAAGCAGCACAGGCGCCTCTCCCAGGCCATCGCCCAGGCYCAGGACCACGGTGAGCCCCAACCCCGCCATTTTTGGGGCTCCAAACCCCTCTGAGCGCCCTCCCAACCCCTCAATCTCCCTTTCCCAGGTCTCCTGTGGATCCAGGTCCCCTTCGTGCCGGTTCCTCAGGAGGATTTCTCCAACCAACACGCGGCCGTGGGGAAAACGCCCCCGGCGCCCGCCCTGAGGGAGCCGGGCCGCGTCTGGTACCCCTGGTACGAGTGGCAGCAGCCCCCCGCCGCCAAAGTGGCCCGGATGCGCCGCCTTTACGGAGCATTCCTCAAGGAGAATTACCCCGATACCCCCCCAAGCCCGTCGGGGAAATAAAACATTTAAAAATCTCTTTAAATTGTCTTTTTTTTTGGTCAGGGAAACTGAGGCACGAGGTAAAAATGGCGGCCGAGGCGCAAAATGGCGGCGYGTGGAGGGGGAGTATATCCCACAATGCCTTGCGGGAAGGAAGGGGGGATGCTTCCCGTCGTGCTTTGCTGTGGCGCGAAAAGCKGGTTGCTAAGGAGGAGTGGCTTGGTTGCTAAGGGCGGGAAAATGGGAGGCAGCGATTGGGCGAGCAGGTGCAAGGGGCGGGCCTTAAC